GTCCTGTATTCATTTAGCAGAGACAGTTTTAGGCGTTTTTTTTGTAGGCATAAGCTTTGTTTTATAGTTTAGAGGATTTGATTAATATTATTCCAATAATTTGGTCTAGTAATAGTAATGGGTTTTTTTTTTGGCCAAGGCTGTTCTCATCAAGGGAAGATAATATTTATTTCGCAGTGTTTGTCGTGTTTAAAGTGGCACGTTCCCGCCAGTGTAGTTATCGCTGCTCTAGTCATCGCCATCTTGGTTCCGAAGATCGACTTCTAATTTGCATACAGCTGTCAATCAAAGTACGCGCGGCCTGGCCTGCCTTCGCCAAGCCAGCTGATCGCTGACGATCGCGACGTCACGAAAGTGGGCGGAAACAGCAGCCGAATCTTAGAGCCGAACTGCGATTGGCATTACTTCGGCACATGTATGCGATAATCGGTATTGTCCGGGCATTGGGAACATGCCATCTGCGTAAGAGCCGTATTCTGTTGGTGTCAATAGGTAGCTAGCACCGTCCGCCAGCGGGTACGTATTTTGAACGCCCTCTGGAATACGGGGAACATGCCTCTTTAACATTATACTTTAATGCATGAGGTCTTGTTCTTATTTTTGGTTATCATTAAACTACTATATGTCAAAATAAAAAAAAATTGCAAATGAGGTTATAAATAAACGGATTTGAACATAGAAAATAACGAAACGAGTAATATGGATATGATATAAAAAACAACAACAACGACAAAAACAAAAATAACAAACAAACAAGAGAAAACAGGAAGAAGATATAATAAAATAAATACAAAGAGGCGAGAAAGAAGAGATATATTATGTATTTTGCCATTTTGGCGTTTGTCTTTTAAATGGTTTCATACTTTCTATAAATCGAATGTGTTCGGGTAATTTATTCCAGTTTGATGGACCTGTGTGACTAGAAATGACTTCTGGTAAAAAGTCGTACTAGCATGTGGCACCCTAATCTTATTTGTACTCCTTGTTGTTCGAGATGATACTACTTGGATATAAATAAACTTATCATCGAGTAGTTCAGGTGCAGCTTTATGTGAACATTTGTGAATCATAGAACAAGATGCTCTAAAATAAAGATGATCTATTTTCGGCCAGGATAGTATTTCAACAATTTGTTCAGATGGGTTTTCCCAGGAAAAACGAGATATCATTATATGCTGCCCTCTTATGTAATCTTTCCAGTTTACTATGATTTGCTTCAGATATCCCCAACCAAACGGTACAGCAGTACATCATATGGTCACTACAAAAGCCCAGTACAGTTTGTTCAATTGTGCTTTATCAAAATAATGTTTACATCGAATCCAAATAAGGCGAATGACTGAAGCCAGCGTTTGTTGTTGACGTGCCTCTCCCCTCTTTCATAAACACAGTCTAGCTATGTTACAGTGGAAAAACACCGTCTCTCGGATAGGACGTTAAATGGAGGCCCCGTGCAGAGGAGAGCCACTCTCCTATGTACATTAAGAACTCAGTGAACTATTTGTATACGAGTAGGGGAAACCCTGATGCATTATGGACAACCTGCACATCCCCAATCAGTAATATCGGGAGAAGAGATCGATCCGAGGGTCACAGTGATTCAGTTTGCTTTTCCCTTCTCAGGCGACGCCAAATACTTACTGATAATGATAGAAATAAAACTCTCACTTGTATGACCTACGAAGTAGCGTTTGTGTCACTCTCTATATTCATGACACTTTTCCTGTTTTCCATCGTTACCATCAAACACCTTTCCAAGCATCTACCTTGAATTAACGTGTACATTTTCTAACTCCCAACACCACCCAGATCGCTTAATGAGTTGTCTTACAGCTTAATGACGTAACGAAGTTTGGCGAAATGAGCGCACTTTGCCCCAATCAACACCTTCGATACCATTACAAGTCTGATGCGATTTAGCGAGCCCGCGCCTGTGCTACTTATAACACCTAAACCATGGACCTCTAGCGTCCCTGCCTCGACCAAGCACCACGCATTGTCTATGGCTGTGGTTCGTGAACGAATTCGCACTGGAAATTAAAGACTTACTCATATTATGTACAGTAAAATGATCATCTAGTCGGTAAATTGCAGTTTTTCTCCAAGACTCCCTGTGCAAGGTGAAAACATATAACATTTAGAGATCACGATCGGCCTTTTCATACGAGCAGAGAAGGACAAATCAACGCCTTTACTCGCTAATCGTCAGAGGTGTAGCAATCAAATGCACATAGGGAAATACATGAAGCCTTTTCCTTCTTTGATGAAGGTTCCTTGAATCTTAATCTGTTTCATATATCCATACTTAGAAGGGACAATAAACAACGAGAAAACTTCTGATCTTCGGTATTACGTTTCAAGACCTTTCAGAAGAGGCAGATTTGGGAGCACATATAAACTCGACTCGGTGTGCCCTTCCGTCCTCTTATAATACGCCTTTGATATTTAATAATTGCTGAAGCTGCTTAGAGTTTTTAATCCTATTTCTCTATTCAATAACGAAATAATTGCAACGCTTTTTTAAAAGGTAAAATTATGGTTGGCTATTAATCAAATCTAATGTATTATTTATCTGTCCATGATAATCATTGAGCGCGTTTATCTAGGCTTGCCACTAGATATGTACATATCGTACCCCACTATCGAACCCCACTATCGTACCCCACTATACGATCGTGATTTGCGGGATGTCGCGTTTATCGACCCTTCACGATTCAAAATAAAGGCCTTGTGTCTGCCCAGCTGTTTTGACCCGGGACGCAGACAGTTTCTCGGAGGTCAACTTCACACGTATGCTTGTACACAACACCTGGGCGGTCTTATTTGTATGTGAGGTACAAAACAGCTTTGCGTTTATCGATCATTTTGAAACGTGATTCTGGCTGTATGTGACATACAAAACGCACCTTTTTGCGTCTTTAGATATGCCCATATCTAAAGACGTTTGAAAAAGGCTTTGCGTTTATCTACTTCTAAATTTGCCTGAAAGACGTTTGAGAAACCTGATTCTAGCCAAAAATTTCCTAGATAAACGCAACCATTGTATGTCTTGAATCTTGAATCTTGAATCTTGAATCTTGAATCTTGAATCTTGAATCTTGAATCTTGAATCTTGAATCTTGAATCTTGAATGTCATTCCAATTATCAACCCTGAGAATTCAATAATTCGACTGCTGATGTGAAAGTTTTCGAGTTGATAATTATTTTTCATTAAAAAAGAAAATCAATGGACCATTTTTGTAATGTAATCGAATTTAGTGCATAAATCTCTTTTAAGTGCCTCGTTAAAAATAATTTCATTTATCTGTTGCGAATAATTGTATTTTAATAATCTTGAAATGTTAGAGTTACGTTTTCCTCTGACAAGAGAAATATTTGTATCATGATAATATTTTAATTTACGATTGAAATGTTCGTATGCATTATTCACACTATGTTTATTCAAAACATCTGTTCATTCTTCTTCTAATACATATTTTTTAAATGACTCGATGTTCCTAGGAGTGTCTTTTCTATAAAGCAACTTTTGAGGGTCTTTTTTTAGGACGAACTAAACTTACGTAGACCATGTATATCAAAACAGTTATGTAACAAATTTCAGGAGTTAGTGTTAATACTGGTATGTTGGGTTACATAAAAAGCATAAACACAGATCTCGCCTGTTTGGAGCCTAAAGTCACTCCACTGTTTAAGAAAGGTTATAAACATGAAACACAGAATTATAGACCCATTTCTTTCCTATACCAATTTTGGGTAAAGAAAACATAGTTGATGTTCGATGACCAGTTTCCTAGAAACGCATGACATTTTATATCACCATCAGTACAGATTTAGAAAGAAGTATAGTACTGAATTATCAGTAATTAATCTTATGAATACGGTTTTAAAAAGTATAGACGACGGATGTCTTACGCTTGATGTGTTTCTTGATGTGTTTCTTGATGTGTTTAGAGGGAGATTGAAGATATCTGGGGCAGAATTAAGAGAGGAGGATGCGACATTTTTTTAGCATAACCATTGACAGACATTTCAACATGGAATTCACATATGAAATCATACAGAGAAAGGTCGGTATCCTCTTTAAAATATGGCACTTTGTTCCTAAATATATATTAATACTGTCGTACAAAGCTCTGATACAGCCACATCTAACATATGGCATCGAGGTTTAGGGTAGTACTTATAAATCAAACTTGTAATGTATATTTTATACTCAAAAGTTACGTGCTATAACTTTAAAGCCACATCGTACTCATACTAATGCCCTGTTTCATGACCTCCAATTGCTGAATGTTTTCAAATTGAATTATCTATTTGAACTTATTTTAATGATATGAACGGTATATGATCTCATTCCTTAAAATATTATTGCACTATGATACAACATGAATATTCCACCAGACAAAAAACGGGTCGACAATTACGTCTTCTTTTATTCAAAACAGACCAAGGAAATTTAACTGTTTCGTTTGTTGGAAGTAGTTTTTGGAATATGCTTCCTACTGATATAAGATTAGAGAGATTAAGAACCTTCTTTTGTAAAAAGCTCACAAATTACTCTTATGTAAAAACCACGAATTATAACTTTGTAAATAATATAGTTGGATATAGCAACCAGAAAAATAGTAAATGTAATCTTTATTTAGCACTTAAACTACACCCTAAAAAATGAGGTTTTTGTACACCCGAAGATGTCCGGATCCACACATTTTATACGTTTCTTTAATAATGACCATAACAAAATTGGCCCTTGTATAAAAGGCAACTTTTGTAGGTTTTCACGTGTCTCCATGCTGACGTAAGTGCGCAAATCCTATGCGCAGAATGTTATAATTGAAAATGTTAATGAATATTTTAAGGAAACCCTATAGGTTGAGCACAAAGTAAAATGCCAGATCTCTAAATTTTGTTTACAGAAATCACTCGACAGTATATACGATATTAGGCCTATACGAACGATGAGACACTAGGACGGGTTATTGCATTGTTATATTTTTAAAATATCTATGTCGACTTAAACAAAAATCGCTTCATAGAGACAAATTCAATTTCATCACCGAGAAGGATCTTTACTGATTCATGAAAAGATTTTGGGTTATTGTCATATCTGCGAGTCTTTGAATGTTTTGTACGTTAATACATTTCATCGGGTAACCCCATCCTTTGTAACCCTTGAAATACTACTAACATAAGTCTTACGATTTACATACAAATTTCCAATCGCGGTGGTGTTTGAATTCGACCAGGAAATATACATTTATTCAATTCTTTGGGATGTCACTTTCAGAGCGAGCAAAAGCCTTTGCAATAGACTCCATTTTGTCATCGACTAAATCTAGTGCAAAATTAGAAATCGACGATGTGGACAGTGGAAAGCCAACATCTCATCCAGCCGACTTCGGGGATGTCCTCCACGATGCCGAGGTCGGAGGAAGATTTGAAGGCGATTACGTGGTCCATCCGAATCAGGGATTCGAACTCGATAGTGAATTTCACCTTAATTCACGAATGGCGTCATGGAGAAGGTTAAACGCTTCAAATTCGAACCTTTTTTCGTCCACATCAACGTTAAATTCGGCATCGTCAATGACCGACATAAATTTCGGTAGCTCACAAAATCTTCGCAGGAGCTCAGACGAAGCCAGTGTTGCTTTACAGACAAGCCCCTTCGGGAGTAGTTGTCGTTTAGAATCCCTGGCGGTGAGTGATGATTGCCTAAGCAACGATGTCCCGATGATATCAGGTGATCTCGACGATGACTCTCATCCCATCGCCATGACCGTCAATGGGATAACGGCCACATTGGCGCAGTCATCGATGTGGAGGAAATTTCATGAATGTGAGACGGAGATGATCATCAACAGATCGGGAAGGTAAGCGGTGCTAGGGAGAAACCATTACAGTAATCATCTCAGGTAACTTTCATGCAACTTTTACAATAGTTCCCATGCAGATTTTCACTTTGAGACAGGGCGTGTAACATGCTGATAGATGTTTTTTGTTTTATCAAAGGTGTTATCTGTAACCGCATTACTACAAATTCGCTAACTATTTTATTGATTAACGCTAAAATACGTATTGTCTTTAAATGAATAAGGTAATGCAATATAGATCTACGTAAGATGGTGACTGACCAGAAATTGATATGTGTGTGTATCATTAAAAAAATTGAGGCAGTTCCAAAAGAGATCTAAAGCTCAGGTAAACATATTGAAATCCAATCAAGAAATGTAAGGAAAACTTACCTTAACATTTTCAAAATCCTATACCAGGGCTCTCCTTTTTACGTGAAATTTGAAATAAAGTAAAATTAATGCCTTTTGGAGGAAAGACAAAAAGGAAAATTGCCATTTACATTATTTGCCTGTTTAATAACTGGTTAAGAAATGTATCTGTAGAGATGCACAAATTAGTATAGTTACAAACTCTTCTAGGAGAAAGAATCTTTTTTCTTCTTTTCTTTCTTTTTGTAGGCGGATGTTTCCGTGTTTTGCCGTCTCGTTGTCAGGTTTACAACCAGATGCCCTGTATCGTATTTCTGTTACTATTACATCAGATAACAGGTAAGCTGTGAAAATGAATTAATACAGAAAGTGATCTGTTAAATTCAGTAAACTTATCTGCTAATTTTGTGCGTTCGTTTTCAACAAAAGTTGCTCATGACGGCCAAAAAGTTGCCAGGCATAGCACCAAATAGTGAAGGATATGTTCAGTATCATGTAGGCCTGAAGCGGGTGAAATATAATAGGGGGCTGGGCCTGGGTCAAGTCACTCATGCATTTAAATAACTTATATCCTTAATATGTGTTTTTGGAGGTACAAAAGACACGGTATTTTCATTTGGTCTGCTTTGTATTTAAAGTATTTGTATAAGTTGGCGTCATATTAAGAGTTTTCTTCGTAACGCTCATTGCTTAATCAACGAATCCCCTAAAAAGGAAGATATACCCCCCCCCCCGAAACATGAATTGCATTGAAGTATCTCGACACCTCTACTAAACGATATCATTGTTGTTGTCTTTTGAATTCAAGAAGTGTTAAATTGCCTTAGAAAAGTTTTGGGAAATCATGTTTCATGCGACTATTGGTTACCCTTTTGCAGTAACATTCGTCTGCATATTTCATTGTTTTATTTCAGTCTGTGTACATTAGGGGCATGCAAAAAAACACAAAAGTGTGATCCTGATCGCGATTATGCAGAATCTCAATATTTAGTGAGAGTTTTGGATCCACACGCATAACAAAAGTAAGATTTTGATATAGATTTAATATTTTCGATAATTAAACCTCACCAATTGTTCTGGGTGCGAATGCCCTCATTATCTACATACCACAGGAGTCGCTACAAGTTTATAAATGGAAAGTGGCTTGCTGTAGGCAAAGCTGATCCGGAGATGCCAAACGAACCCTACGAACATCCTTTATCTCCAAATCATGGTCTCTTCTGGGAGAGCAACGTCGTGAGCTTTGCAAAACTCAAGATCACCAACAATAAGGACACCAAAGCAAAAAACGTAAGATGAGTGCAGTTTTTCGATTTCTGACGATTTCCTTAAAATTAAAAAAAAAAAAAATAATCATAATCTGTCAATGGTTGGTGTGATGGAGAAGGGGGTTGGGACACAGCCACCCCCTCTTGTGACGTCACAAGGATAGAACATCGGGATTGTAACCATCTTACCAGGGTTCTGGTTTCAAAGAAAAGTCCTTGGGCTAGTCACGCAGGCGCTATTATGGTAAGGTATCACGCCCCAGTTAGCAATATCATGTCTACTGGTAGCCTCTTCTACTCGCAATATCAAATAACAATTACCTTTTAAGGTATCTCTATCTATCTTTCTGGCTTCTAACTATCGTTCGACCTGTGTTTTTAAGAGCAGGAACGAGCCCTTCAAAATTATCCTCCAGATGAAAACGATTTCTTTCGAAGCCATACAAATCTCATTAGTCATAAAACAAGTACTGTATATTGCTATTATGAAAACTTGATAATCAGATGCATTTTGGCTAGCACAAAAAGGCAATTGATTGTGTTCGTATATACAAAATGTAAAGGTATGTTTTGTATAACAATTTTGTTAATGTGAATGATTAACCTTTTTGGCTGTATACATACAAGATTCCTATCAATAGACCTGCCAATCAGAAAAAAAATGAACTTACACTTTAAGCCCAGCGCATACTACACGATCCGACTATAATACGATCTGAATTTGGAATAATTTGTGAAAGCATTTTATATGTGCATTCAGACATGTAAAATCTTAATGACCAAGGTTCAGAATAGTCATATGATTAATAAAATCTACATTTCATGGGATTTCATGTTTCTTTTGAGGGGTAAAAGCTAAATCGGCTCAGAATCGTATAGTGACATTAAACCAGGAGGGCGATTGTCTACGAATTGAAGTCGATTCGGCTTTTATTCTTATTAGAATAGTTTAAATGCCGCTTCAAATCTAAACGAGTCTTAAGGCGTCATTTCTAAAACTTTCGAAACATTGTTGTGTTGATTAGATCTTAATGTTGTTTGAATTGTGATTTAAAAAAAAAACATTTTAGCAAATCGTTCTCCATTCGATGCACGAGTACACTCCGCGGCTGTTCATTGAACGACTTATATCCAACAAATCACCTCATGGCGACATCAAAGTAGAGAAAGACTCAATGTCTGAACCATCTCCAACATCTAATTCAATGTCGACATCATCGTCACCTTCGACGTGGATGCACATGCAACAAGATCATCGATCTTCAGAGCCATCATCCAGCGACGCGGCATCGACTTCGACAGGATTGAGGCATTCAGGAGGATCGACGTCGTCAACGATGACGAGCAGCTCGCCTGATCCTCGTGTTGATCAGATGACATCTATATCATTCTCGGAGACATCGTTTGTTGCTGTGACGGCATATCAGAACGACCATATCACTCAGCTCAAGATACAGAACAACCCTTTTGCTAAGGCTTTCAGGGATGCTGAAGTAGCAGCGTAAGTGCAAACATCTTTAACATAAACTGGTTAAAGTATACCCAGACGTTGTGGCCCGAATTCACAAAGGAGGTTTGTAGACAAACCTAGGTTTATGTGCGTCATATGACGCGTTTCGATGCGTTTCAGACCAAGCTGAACCTTGGTCTGAAACGCATCGAAATGCTTCATATGACGCACATAAACCTAGGTTTGTCTACAAACCTCCTTTGCGAATTCGGGCCTATGTGTCCAGACAGGTTGTGTATCAGGGCAATTGATTTAAAACAGTAATTTGAAAAACTCTACAAGCAATAAAACATAAATGTTGGACAATATTATAATGGCAAAATATTTATAATAGTTAGTGCTATTTTATGAATATTTTTCGTTGAATCCAAACGCAAAAGAGAAGGCTTTATATTTGTTAAGTTTGTGTTGACACCCAACGCCTCATATTTACGAACCTTTTGCACCCCCTCTCGCACATTTTCACGTACGCAGATAACCATACAAATTCCTAGCACAAAATAAGTGGCAATACTCCGTCTAAAAGAATTAGAGAGATGCTGTGCTTGCAGCGTTAGTTTGCAAATCGCAAGGAAATGGAGTCAGAAATTACGATATTGTAATATAAGTGTAAATATTAAATGGATATAATTATATACAGTAGGCTTGCGGATGCACCATGTGGGAGAGAGAGGGAAGATTGAGGAGTCCTGAAAAAGGACTCTCGGTAATCTTTCTTGAGGGTGTGTAGTTCTGAAAAGGACTGTTGGTGTAGTCTTGAAAAAGACTGTTGGTTATCTTTCTTAGCATATAGTTCTAAGGAGAACTATAGTGCCAATTGGAGAGGATGGGTGGCGGGAGTGGCTCGACGTTTCGAACAGGTTGACTATCCGTCGTCGGTCACTCAGCTGCAGTATAGGCGTACAGAAAACCTTGGAGTAAGAAATAAAAAGGAATCATCATGTGACATTTGTTCTTGGATGTATTTTACTTTTTTCTCCCTCGGAACAGAATGCTACAAGGAGCTAACACGTTTCCAGAGGAACACCATCTGCTTGCAGAATATAGAGACAGAGAAGGTATCTACTATATTCTATAACACAATAATAATAATAATATTCTGTTCTTGTATAGCGCATATCACTTTTTAAACGTCCCTATGCGCTTCCAAAGAGCTTCGGAAATTATTACCCTAGCTTTAGCTCCGGCAGCCGTTATCAGCGCACAGTGCAAATTCAAGGAATAATCCTACCAGGTACCCATTTACCTCACATTGGGCAAATGTTGATTATCATCATTATACGCTGATAAGACGTATCCTCACCACTTAGCGTTGGCCGATCGAAACAAATAAAAACAAGTAAGAGGATTCATGGTCTAGGTATACGTCGTCGGACTATGGATCACAGGTCTCCCGGTTAAAGTCATAACGACATCTTTCTTCAACAAAAAAAGACCTAACACGGCATTAGAGAAAACAGAGATGGTCTTGCTTTCTCTGTCTTGACCCAGTCAATAGGGACTTTTAGATTTGCGTGGACTGATACATGTGACGTCCATTCAAGGCAGTGCATTAAAAGGACGTCGATCGTAGCAATCCCCATTGTCTTCGTGCGAATCTAAAAGTCCCTATTCTAGAGGAGTAGGCTGGCGCGCATCATGATTGTTATTTTGTCAAATTCAACGCATAGTTTTATGCCAAATTCCTATGGTTACTTTCAGCTGTTGGCGAGTTAATGCATTCCAAAGGTTAGAATGCATACATTATGTATTGCCAGGTCGGAGAAAGCATACATTTTCTAAACGACATAGCAGCAACTAATGTATTCGATCTGCATTCTGACTATTGCAATATAACAACTCGTTACAGCTGATAGGGGCTTATGCCCCTCTCCCAGATCCACTACAGGTTAGTGTTTCGACGTGTCCAAATGATCTACTTTTTTCCTTCTTCATTTGGCAGCTTTTTCATCCACACACTCGCTCAATGCTCACATGACTGGCCAGAGAAGATTTGGTTTACCAATCTTACAACACTATCCTGTTCACCTTGGCGTAGTACCTGGTCATCATCAACCATCGCATATGACAAGATCGTTTGCAAACGTGCGAGTAGGACCGAACGACGGTCTCCACCCTAACACCCTAGGACACGACCTACACTGGAAGGTGAGTATATTCCACGTCATTATGTGTATACATGTCTGTTGATAAAAAGCGCCAACAACATTTTAAACAATAGCTTTCTTTGAGGTTCCTTTTAGTTTTATGTTTACACTGAAATTAATTTTAGTGTTGATTCACGAATTTGCCATATGTATCTTTTAATACAAGAGGAGCGATAAGGACATACATGAAGAAAACAAATATCCTTTTCCTTTTCCTTAATGCCCTTTCGCTACAAACACTAAATGTGATAATTATTACATCCACTTAACAGCACCTTCTGTTCCTATTTGTTCCAGGTGTCATCTGCAACTAACCTTGCTGGTGCAGGCCATGAAGGTGCCCTTCATGAGAGTTGTGGATTCCTTCCATCTCTAAGCACAGCCGATAGAGCAAATAGCGATGCAGAACTATCAGCCAAACCTAGAGCTCGTAGCAGTCGATCGCTGGCTGGTAACTCATTCGGGGGTCTCGGACTAGGCTGCGATGGAGATTTCCGGAAACGCGCGATCGCGAATCTTGTAGATGACAGACGAGATCCTGACAAGTAAGCAAGTGATCCTTGTTTTTAAAGGGAGAGGGGGGGGGGGGGGGAGTAATGTAGGATTTTATTTGGTCAAAAAATCGATTAAAAGCGATCAAGTTTAGACAGGGTCGAGGGTTTGGTATAGGTACAATGTTGGGTCCAGGATTAAAGTTAGGAATTGGGTGGTTCTTACAGCAACACAAAACTGCGGAGCAAGTACCGCGAGACCATGTGTCATACCAATACCATATCATCTCCCTATAGACAAGACAGTGCTGTTTTTTTCCAACTCGTCCAATACAGAAGCAATATTAGGCCACATCAAAGGCGACACCAAACGAAATGTGCTTTTGTTTCTTTGTTTTTGTTATCACAAGAAGCATCATAGTTGTGACGACATCTAGTACATTTTAACAATCTGTAAGTTTGCATGCACTGCTATGTAGGCAGGGACGGATCAAGGGGGCACAGGGGGCACGTGCTCCCCCCCGGCCCGAAAAATTAATTAAAAAAAATTATTGAAAAAAAATTATTAAAAAAAGAAAAAAAGAAAAGAAATATACCAATGGCTGACCTAAAAAAAATGACCTCCCCCCCCCCCAACGGAGCAAAATGTCAAATTAACAAATGTCGTGACCCCAAAAAAGAAAAAAAGTTTCCTCTTCCCCCCCCCCCTCCCGCTTATTTAGTAGTAGTTGCGATTTTTTGGGGACTAAAACAAAAAATATATATATGTTCTCTTACCCCCCGGGTGCCCCCCCCCATGTGCCCCCCCCCCCGGGAAGAAATTCCTGGATCCGCCCCTGGTAGGTATTTAATGAAGATTTGTTCGTATTTTCGGCATCTTGGATAGAACTGATTCGCTATCATCACTAATATGATTTAAGAGACGTCGACCTCATTCTTGGTGCCAATTATGAGCATATCGTTTAACTTATTTTTAGGTATATGCTGCGGAATCCTTTGTTTGCGATGGATGCCACTAAGATACCAGCGAAAAAACAGGCCATCAAGCTTTATCACTCGCCGCTATGGTTGCTAGATTCTCCTCAGATAATTGTGAGTGATACGGCAAAGTCAGGAGGTAAAGGAACACAATCTAAGCAATTGGAGCAACATCAGACAGCTAGCTCCTCTTCTCTAGATGATGAAATGAGCACGGAAGCCGATGATCGAGATACTACGAGTCACTCGAAGGTCCAACGGGGGATAGGAGGGCCTCTAAATGCCGAAGAATTGGGAGGTGCACCCAGACAGCTGATGGTCCCACCCACCCCGTTCTCTTTGGCACCACACCAGCGACATCACATGGAAATGAACGGAGGAGATCTAACAAGACGCGTGACCATACATACACCAGATGCCTTTCGTCAACGCGTCTTAGATTCGCCTGTGATGAAGCCCCGGCGTAGTTTGGATTCTGCTAAGATGTCAGCAAGCCTCTATCAATTCCCGGGGTCGGCCACGTTTTCACCGAGACTCAACAAGAGAAGTAGCATGCAGGGATTGGATTGCAATGGGTCGCGCGTGAGCTTTGACGAAGAAAGTACCACTGGATCATCTGCTGATAATTAGATGCATGTCAGATATAGGTGACAAGACTTGTTCATTTGTACAGAGAAAAACAAAATGACTGTTCCTGAATATACCGGTTTCCACCGAACTTGCCAGGCGCGTGTTCGAAGCAATTAAAGAGAAGGTTGAGTTCTGGGGAGAGGTGAAAAGTAATTTGTGAGCATTTTCATTGTTATTATGCAAATGTGGAAGAACATCAGAGAAAAAAAATGTTCACTGAAAAGCATGGTTCTTCAAATGCCTTCATGTTCTCAATATGACAATATGACAAGTGACAGCTTTTAAATGAGGGCCTCATTTTTATGCCACATGTTTGTGTAGTCCCATATACATCTTTCTGTATACAGTGCTTGTTCCTTTTACAATGTCTCTGAGTTATATTAACAATATCATGTACAGAGATTTAAATCGTGGAAATTTTTAAAATTTCTATTCTGCACTGTTTTATGTTTTCACCTTGTACAGTACATGTATAATGAATACATTTTGTTTGAAATACAATATAAATATAAAAAATTCACAGTTATGTTAAAAAAGCCCAATATTTTGTGTGAGAAACAGATGACAGAGATGTCTGAAATTCAAATGGAAGTGGAGAACCTCTGCCGATTGGGAATACAATTCTTTAAAGATAATTAGTGACAAAAGAGACGAGATAAGGACATCTTCAAAATAATGTGGCATTGACCTGTCTATGTACCTCAATATTTGCATTGCTGTTAAGTTGTTACCAACGCCATCTCATGGCGACAGTGTTACAGGGAGTGTCGTGGTCGAATGGTTTAAGGCGCTTGAATGGAGATGCGAAGGTCGAGGGTTCGAATCCCGACATGGCACTAATATCCTTAGGCAAGATATTAACCTGCACTTGCTACTCTCCACCCAGGTGTTACCCGGTAGAATGCGACCGTCATTGTTGTTCAAACAGTTTTTGAGCGTCATGCAACGCCTGGCTGGAATGCTCCCCAGGGAGTGGAGATTGTGCACACAGTGTATGCGGGCAAGCACTGAATCCAATGACCAGGGTAATAGTATATTCGTAAAGCGCTTAGAGACATTCGTATTAAGCGCTATATAAAAGCTAAATATTATTATTATTATTATTACATTATCCGTTGGTTTCATAAATTCCATGAATTGACTCGACGTCATTAACATGCATATTCATTGACCTCCTTATAGATGTGCCCGATTAGAGGCTACCACCTATGTAAGTCTTAATTTTATCATCATGTAATATCAGCTACAATTTGGGTGCCAATGTCATCTACCCTAGATCGTTGCCATATTTCTTAATTTGGCGCCATGGTTTAATATGAAATTCAGCGCAAGTATACCCATACATTGACGTAGATGTCGTTCTACCTTCTATTCGGCACCAATTTCATCAACTCGTAACTAGGCAACAAAATCACTTAAAAATAAGGTCTTTGCTCATTATGATTCAGCAAGCAAGAAACACACTGGCCGCCTCCAAAAATTACAAAACAGGGCCGGTCGTATCATTTTGAAAATTAATCCTTATAACCATGTTTCAAATAACGATATTCATGTTAAATTAGGGTGGAAATCTCTCCATTCAAGACATAAATTTCCTTTAAATATAATGGTCTATAAATCCCTCAACAATTTGGCTCCTCCTTATTTAGAGGAGTCCTTCAAATACTGTAACTATCCATATTCTCTACGATCACAAGGAAATATTAAACTCCCCAAACCTAAGAGTGAATGCTTCCGTAAAATAATTGTGTATAAAGGCTCACGTGAGTACAATGACCTACCGTTAACTATTAAGCTACCCACCAGCTTAAAAACTTTTTGCAAAACTCTAAATTTAAGAAATCAGTTTTGCTCTGATCTGTAATGGAACATGCTTGGGATGGGGGGGGGGGGGGGGGGAGGTGTTTATGCTTCTCTAATATGTTTTAGGTTTTTATATGTATTCAAATTATATTATTTTATGTTGTGTATGTTGTATAATAACTGTTGGTATCTTAATTCCTGGACCCCAGGGAAGAACAGTTTTGTTATACTAACAAAGCTGAATGGGTTATCCAGCCATTCACTATACCATTGATTTTACTATGTACACGCATTTTACTTGTATTGTTTTTAAAATTGTGATAGGGAAAAGAAATACCAATTCCAATACCAATACCAAGGTTCATAACTAGCTCCCCGGTCCGTGTGATGGTTTCCGCGCGTGCAGCTTTCCGTCTATATATTAAAACGTCTTTGCTGGCTACTCATACCACGGCATCGCATCAATGGAATGGCGCTGACGACATCTATTCTTTTATCATAGTCATATCGTCTCCCTAAAATGAGCGCCAGTTCCTTTTACGTGTTAACAGTTGCTTCTGTTTCCACCTCTTTTATTGGCGTTATTACATAAAAATCGGTATGATTGAATGAAATACGCTTAAACCGATTTTCACTGCCTGAACATAAATGGACATTTGTACTGATTGGCCGGAGGACTCTTGCTAAATCATTTTTGTTTGGAATCAATTTCCTTTTTAACGAACAATATTTCAAAGCCTGCTAAAACATCCTGTTGACACCGTCTCAGTTTACAAGTGAGGACATTGAGGATACTGTAGAATAAAGACATTACTATATAGTACTATGGAAAGTTAATGTGCGATGTGAAGGACAAAATGTAACACCATGCTTAAAAACATGCAAAAACAAAAAAATCAATGGTGGCATTTTCAGCAACAAGCATGCAAATGATTTTACTTTAAAACCATTTAAGTGACTACATAAGTAATTCATGTAAAGACAACATATGCCTTGGCTTTTGTTTTGAGCATTTAAAATGTTTGTTTCCTTTTTAAAATTGTTTTATTCTGCTTGTATACACGTTTATCGTATTCAAATAAAAATCTTTTTTTACTCAAATTGGCGGAACGCATGACTTTGTTACATGAATATGTTAAATCAAACCAGTTTTGTCACTATGTGTCATAAAACTGTTATCATGCTACAATTAAAATCAAGTGTACATACACAAGTGTAATGAATTATCGTCTTGATGTAAATGTAAACAAAAGTGTAAATTGGTGGAATATTCTGAAGTGACATATTCTACATTTACATGCATTTATTGTAAACAAAGTTGATCATATTTGTTTGAATTACATGTATATTCCACGAAAATGTATATCTCTCATTTCTTGCATTTGTATTATAGTGGACAAATATTTGATTTCAAATTTGTCTTATCTGTACTAGTACTAGTCGTGGTTGTAATGATCAACGTATACTTCAAGGGCAACACAATTACAACGACCACCGCCACGGGAAGGGGGGGGGGGGGGGTCGTATCATACACCGGGATCATACACCCTTCCATCGATGTCCCCTGTTCATGAATAAGGATGAAACAAGCAGGATGGGGGTCAGATTAGATTAATGTTCATCCCTCTTTTATCCACATTTACCTTGCATGACTTTGACACTTTTATTATTTCCTTTACTCTCTTTTATTAATCTTTTTCTTCTCATGATCATGCTTCCTTTTGATTAAGCAGAGACTAATGTCAATGGCGTTACTGAAACGAAGGTTGTGTGTGTGTGTGTGTGTGTGTGTGCGTGTGCGTGTGTGTGTGCGTGTGTGTGTGCGTGTGCGTATCTGGGATTGTGTACCTGTGCAGCGGTTATGGCATAATGTATTAGCTAAGTTTGAGCTTAGAGAATTAGGTATGTCTTTTGAGTGGATATTCATGTAGGGTTGTCCGGTAATTCCCCACGAATACAGATATTTATTAAATACAATTAATTTGCAATGAAATATTGGGTATATAGATGCATATAGATGAACGTCTGTAATATCGTCATTGGTTTATATTAAAAAAGAACTGTTGGAATTTAGGGAAGAAGAAAAAAACATTGCAACAAGGGCAGATAAATTAGCCTTACATTAGCAACAGTGGGACCAAGCAGGGAGGTGAAAGAAAAGGAGACGAAACTCTTGTAATTTATTCAAACGCATTCTTGAGTTCTAAAGCATAACAATGGGATGTGTAACATTCCACTTGGCTTTGAAGTTCCATGCTCCGAACCGCGCTTCCACTGCGAAGACTTTCGAAAGCCTGGCACCAGTTTTACATTTATTACAAAATATTAAATTACCAGCAAAATTTCAGTGTAAATCAAAAACTTTATATGGGAATTTTATTGGGAATAGTACATCAAACACATTTTCAAATTTAGAACTCCATCCTTCCTTTCATTTGTGTGCCAGAGTTGGTAAAAGAAAAATTACATCTTGTCAAAAACTCAATATTTTAGGATGATGCGCTAATTTGTGCATGCTTTAATGTCCCGTTATTTGATCCTTGATTTACAATCTTCAATAACATTAAGTTTGCTAATGCGTGTTTTCGCGTGTTTTTTTGTATTTTTCAAGTTTAAAAAAGGATGAAATTACACAAGTTTGTGTTCGCTTGTTCTACTCTTTACACATTCAACAATGGATGAGAAATCATTGGAAGGGACAGCGAACAGTTGCTGTGATACCATTTTCTGATGTAGGAATTCTAAATCCTGAAATGTCATGCGCTCTCTTATCTCACCACCTGGTCAACAGTTGAAGATTAGCGCATAACTTTTCGGCGGCTTGGAGCATGGGGTCAAAGGAGAGCGGCTTGATTCCAGTCCTTCTCTATCACGTCCCTGGACCAAGCTAGTGAATTTTTCATGAACTTTTAACACTGGGTTATTGTAGCCTCGTTTTAATTATTTATTCATCAGGTGGGCTGTATGACGTACAGACCACCTTATAATTTCGTTAGAATTGCCTTTATTTATCAGGTGGGCTGTATAACGTACAGACCACCTTATAATTTCGTTAGAATTGCCTTTATTTATTTATTATTTATATATTTTTCTTATTTCTAACCACTTTTTTGTTGGCAAGATAACTTGGAAATGGCTCAATCAAATGCCTTGAAATTTGGCATACATATGTATAGGCATATGTACAAAGCACAATAACGTTTTCAACTTTGACCTTGACTGATGACGTCATCTAGGCGCCATTTTGTAAAATTTTACGAAAATAAACTAATGATCATATCTTCATAACCAAAAGGTATTTCTCATTCATATTTATCATGATCAAGGTCAATATCCGTCCGGTCAATGGCAGGTCATATAACGCGCGCATGCGCGTACCTCCGCGCGTCAATGCGCGCGCAAAATTTTGAAATGCTCAAAATCGTCTCAAAATCATTTTGCATACGTTTTAGGCCATTCTAAGCATTTTATAAAAAATCGCGCACACCCGCATGCGCGCGCGTTTTCGCGCGTAAAACTATTACACTGTACACAACATAGAATCGCCATTTTTTTTCTTTCATAATATTCCACATATTTTTACAAACAATGTTATACCATGTTTGTCTCTTTATGACTATTAATAACGGAATGATCGACCGTTTAACATAAATTTCTGTACGTGCGAGCTCTTGTATTACATAGAATATATGGACAAAAACATGCCTACACAAAATCCATTGTAGCTCTTTAGGATGCAAGGTCACCCTAATTATTTTTTCATATTGTGATAGAATATAAATTGGAGATATGATTTCATGTCTTATTTTACCCTCAATTAACTCATGACGTCATCATAATGGCCTCCGAACTCAAAATTTCAACTTGCATATTATGTTGTCATCATATTTTTGGAAAATTGATAGTATCTCTCTTAATATTGATCAATTTTCTTCCAAAATTGTATATGTTTTAGCTGAGACAATGTTCTACAAATGCAGTGTTCACAATTTTTAATTTTGACAAAAGCATCATG